AGGCTATAATATGTACAATAAAACAGCCTCTATAAGCGTAACTTCAGATAAATTAGTTAAAAAAAAACACTAAACTAAAACTACATATTTACAATTTAAGGACTCCTTTTATTGGTGTGGTATGCCTCGAGAATTGAAGTAGACTTGTTGTGTGCTAAACAGGACAATTTCTTAAATAGCTGTCGTGTGTATGTGCATGTATATGTTCTACGTCACCTCGTGACGTAAAAAACAAGGGCAAAATATTAAGATCTTTAAGCTCCTTTCGATTCTTTTGTTGTTCCTTCAAGTGTCTTCACCATTCGAAGGATTTGTCTTCATTTTCCTGACGTTAGAGTCCACACAACGAAAATGATTTATATATATATATATTTATAAAATATAACTGAACTGGTTATAATTAAGGTGAGTTTGTGTAATAAGTGGAAAACAAATGAAAGGAAATCATCGCTTCGCATCGTANTTAAATTTAATTATAATTTAAGGATAAATTTAATTCAGCAGATTAATTTAAAGCGATATATAAAGAGCAAACAGTGCAAGACAATAGAAATCTTGTGTGCTGCTGACTAGAATTTTAAAGATGGAGATTTATATTCTATTGAATTTCTTAAGTAAAATACAAAATTTCACGTTTAACATTCCTGGTTTTTACCTCAAACTTTAGAAGAATTTGTAAATAAATTATAAATTTCCGCACTAAAGAGACTTGTTAACTAACCTTAAACCCTACCCCTTCATACTATGCACATACATTAATAAATTCATAGCATTTACATAAAATATGCACATGTTACAACGTTTAGCACATGGGTATGTGTAACACACCCAACAAAACCTAAGAAGGATTTTATAAATTGGCTATCTTACCCCACAACTCGGATATGTTGCAAGTTTATTTACTGTATTTTATCGTAAATTTCGAAGAAAATATATTTATAACGCTATTTAACTTGTATTTCTTTATAATTTTACGAGTTTTATACAATTTTACACGCAAAATTCGTGTAAAAAGCGTGTAAAAAAACTCTCTCCATCTTCGAAGATGAAGATCTTGGTTTCCATCTTCATCAATTTCTATTGTTTTTAATTGGAAAATAAGTATTAAAATATCTTAAAACTGAGTAGAATTGATAGAAAATATTATAATAAAGTTGATTTTTATATAAAAATGATAATTTAAAAATTATTCTGTAGAAAAATACGAATTTAACTTAATGAAGTTTTCAATAAAAATATTTTTTTTTTACTCATCTAAACTAATTGTCTCGCCTCTAAACACGCTTGATGTATAGGAAGAGGGAGAGTAAAATAAAACAAAAAAAGACATTATTTCCATTAATGAGCAACCGCACCTGAGATGCAATTACAAGTCATCCTCATTATCACCTAGTTAAGAAATCTATTGTGAAGGTCTTGTCACTATAACCATTAATTACGTACATAAAGGTTTTCGTGTCGGCTTATTCTGTTGTAATCTTATTTAATTTATAATTTTACAATGAAGAAAAATTCGATTTAATTTAAATTTTCATTAAAAAAAAAAAAACGAAGAAGAATTCTTTTTTGTAATTTTTATCATCTCTCTCTTTCTTCTCCAGCATCCTAAGATGCGGAAGATTTGGGATGTTGGGATGCGAAGGATGCTTTATGTATCATTTTATAGTTTAAGATGCAGATTTTTAGTCGAGGAAACATCACCTTATCGATGATAAATTCTGTTAGAGATCACGTGGTGACAAAAAGATTTGCTCCTGCCAGCAAAAAGTCATCAACTTCTCCACACGACATCCAAAACAGACTTCCTGCAACGTGCCTATTTTTCTTTCTTTCCTGCATAGAAAAATACACTTTTTGTGTATTTATTCGCCCTTTTTAGCTTGTTCTTTTTAATATTCTAGCGCTATTTTATTTAAAAGTTATTGCCCTTTTCTCATGATATAAAAAGAAAACGTTACTAAATTACATACAATTTAGTTGTGTAGGTGATAAAAATATCGTTTAACCAACCATAAAGAAGAAAAAATTCTCATTAATTTCCTCTTAAAATATACATATTTTGATTTAATTTATATAATATTAATATAAATTTTATGTATTTATATACAGAGTGTGGTCCAAAAGTCCGTTAACCATTGCAAAATATGCTGGCTTTACATATTATTTATTTAATAATAATAATAATAATCTTACACCTGAAAAATTACTATAAAGCTTTACTTATTTTATATGTACTGGGGTGGTCTAAAAGTCTGTTAACCACATCAAAGACTGAATTGTTAGCTTACAAATTATTTATGTAATAATACCCTCTTAAAATTTACATTAATTCCCTTCGTATTCAGCTTATAAAAATATACATAAGCAGGTTTATTATATCCATAAAAGCTGTTTACTATACAGGGTGAA